AATGAATGGATTATTCTACATGTATAGTACACATCAACTTAGTTATGTTATCGAAGAGATTAGTTTAATATAAATTATAATTAATTAAATAAAATTAATTGAATGTTGAAAACTGGACGGACTGACAGATTTGCAATATGTACGGGCATGTCATGACATATGTCATACGCGTCATGAGAGCCGCAGACGCGTGTAGAACCATAGATAAGTGATAATAATATACTGTATGCTATTTGTTGCTACAGTATTAAACTTGAAACCGCCTCTCAAGCGAGAGTTCAATTGCCCATGATCATTTGAAACAAACTTAGATTTAAATGGCAGTGACTCTGGGCTATTGGGATCTGCGAGGGTTAGGCCAACCGATCAGGTTTTTGCTACAATACGTGGGCATTGCCTTCACTGACGTGCGCTATCGGATCGGACACAACTGGACTGATCCGGACCTCCGGGAGGACTGGCTGCGAGTGAAGTGGGATTTGGGTCTCGACTTCCCTAACCTTCCCTATTATATTGAGGGAGAGTTGAAGTTAACGCACGTCTGTATTGACACCGAAATCGGCTTTTCCTATGAAAGCCTATAAAATGTGTTCATTATTTAGAGCCGAACTATACTGCGATACTTGGGCTCAAAGCACGGCCTCTGCGGCCAAACGGACGCCGAAAAGACGAGAATAGATATGATTGAGAACTATATGGAGGACATGAGGAACGACGGCCTCCGACACGTCGTCTATTCACCCGTTTTTGATCCCAAACTGGACTTCGAGACACTTAAAGCCGAATACATCTCCAAAATGGGCTCTTATTTATTGAGAACTATATGGAGGACATGAGGAACGACGGCCTCCGACACGTCGTCTATTCACCCGTTTTTGATCCCAAACTGGACTTCGAGACACTTAAAGCCGAATACATCTCCAAAATGGGCTCTTATTTACGGGAAATATCAAACTTTTTGGACACTTTCGAGTGGATGGCCGGCAATCGTCTCACTTTCGTCGACTTCTGGGTCTACGAAGTGCTCGATTGGAACCGTCTCTTCCGAAGCGATTGTCTCAATGAATGCCACAATTTATTACAATATATGAATCGATTCGAGGCTTTGCCACCAATTAATAGATATATAAATTCCGATCAATTCAATAGATTCCCGATATTCGCGCCGTACGCCCGGTTTGGGGGTCAACCACATCCTGATTAGCAAGCCGTACGGTCTCACTGTTGCCTATAGTTTATAACTATTTCATTGATTGCCAAATGTTTTGATTAAATGATAAAATATGATATATTTTTTGTAATTAAACAATATTTTCAATTAATTTCGTTGTTTTGTATGAAAAAAATTGCATTAAATAAGTGTCAATCAAATAGCTCTCGATATGATTAATAAAATCATTTAGAAATTGCAAACTCTTTAGATTGTCTCCACTGTACTCACACTGTATTGACTCAATACTATAATACAGTATTTAATAGAAAAAATGTTAAAAAGTCTAAATTTAATGAATGATTTGATGGGAAAGTGGTGTGAATTGAGAGACAACTGTCAAAAACTTCACACAACTTGTGAAACATGAGGCACTCGTATGAGTCGCATAACAGAGACCTCTAGCGGTGTGGCAATGACTCAGCGAATGAGTGATCACTGAAACGAGTAATTCATTCAACGATTACTTCATTGAATAGTGAATTGAATCGAGTATTCATTCAGCGATTCATTAGTGTCTCAAACATTGCATTCATTGACAACTTTCTTGCCATACATTGCCATCGAGTAGTGAATTGATCGCCAAATACACCACCGATTGGTCTCATCTGTACGTCAAATGCAGTGATCGCTTGATTATGAGTTTTCATATGATTTACGCATAGCTTGTGTCACAAAATACTAAACAAAAAGTTTATTGACAATCAACTCGTATGCATAGCAAGTGATGACAATTTGAATGGTATGAAGACATGGACGAAGAGCTGGTGTACTACTTGCTGTTGATTCCCATCTCAATACCCGTCACACTATTCTTTATGTTGATGTCGTGGATGGGCTTCCAGTTGTTCATCAACAACTGAATCACCCGTTTTTAGTGAGACAATCGTTTGGTGACATAACCGCCGATTTGTGGATCCGTTTCATATAATACAGGAGAGAGACAATCGCCGCCGGAGTCACACCCGGAAGACGTTTGGCCGCAAAGATCTGTTGACAACAAAACACATCACCCGAAGAGGTCAGTCACACATCAGCTGTTAATCAATCGGTTATAACTGAAATGCATTGCAATTAACAAATGGATACCGTTTTGGGTCTGTTGTGAGACAATACGTGTCTCACTTCGGCGCTCAGATTCATATCAGTGGTCATGTAATCCATTTGTGGACTAATTTCCAGCATCTCTTCGCTCTTCATTTGTTGCGCTCTTTCCTGTTCTTCACTCCGGAAGCGCTCGTAAGCGGCTTTGAGGTGACATCAGATGACATGATAAGCGTTACATGCATTCAAACATTTGGTGACATATTCCTCACATACCCTCACACTTGAGTCGAGTACTGGCGTTGGGATTACCACTGATTGCGTTCAATTGATCCGGATATAAGTTTGCCATTTGTTGTACCGAACACTCATTCAGTCCTAACATATCAAATGCACTATAATTTGAAAAGTAAAACCATTTATAAACACTAATTGTAGTCAAAATTATGGTTAAATTCCTAACGTTTTAGTTGATCCGCTTCTGGAGTCGGAATCAATTCCCAAATCATTTCTCCACTGATTTAAGGGCTTTGCGATTGATTTCAAAAACTTTTCGCTCTCTTCTAACTGTTCCCTCGTTTTCGAGAAGTTTTCAAATCGTTTTTGGGAAACAAATCCCATTTCATAGCCTTTAAAAATGTAAAACAGTTTATCAAATGTTAGTTAACCCGCGAGTGAATGAACGCAACCTTTTTGTGTGAGCCTTAGGTCCGCGTTATCGGGTCTTAACATAAGCCTAAACTCCGACCTACTGGTGAACATCCTGTACGGCTCCTCCACTCCTAAAGTGGTTAAGTCGTCGATCAGGACTCCGATGTAGGCCTCGGTTCGGCTGAGAGTTAAGGGCTCTTTATGGAGACATTTGGCGGCGGCGTTAATGCCGGCCACTATTCCCTGTGCAGCCGCCTCCTCATAGCCGGTCGTGCCGTTGATCTGTCCCGACATAAACAGATTGTCAATCACTAGAGTCTCTAATGACTGTTTGAGTTGTCGCGGATCGATGTGATCGTATTCCACGCCATAGCCCGGTCTCAACATCTTCGCGTTCTCCAGGCCAGGGATTAGGTTAATGAGCCGTTGCTGTATGTCTTCGGGTAGTGTACACGATATGCCGTTCGGGTAAATCACGTTTGAATCCAGACCTTGTTGTAAGCGTTTAGTTTACTGTACTGTTTGTCGGCATTACTTTGCCAAATGATTTCATACCTTCCGGTTCGAGCCATATTTGATGGCTTTTGTGTCCGAATTTCAAGACTTTTGACTCAATGGACGGGCAATATCGGGGTCCTCTCACCTCTTCCCTCACGTGCCGACTCAAGTGTGCCGTCTCTTTGACTAACTGGGCCACTCTATCGTCCGTGAATGTGAGCCATGTCTGAACCTGATCATTTTCCTAATGTATACATCTAATGTGATTACAATGTCTCTAAACTTGCGATAAATTCTCAATAAATACATCGATCCAAACGCTGTCATTCATGAATGAGAAGGGAAGGGGAGGTCTGTCCCCTCCAGTCGCTTCTAAATTACTGTAATCAATGGTTTGCTTATCAATTCGTGGAGGAGTTCCTACGATTGTAATTAGACTAATGAGTGGATACATAATGGGTTGAAAGCAATTAGAGTGAACCTGTTTTGAGTCGTCCCATCTTAAAGCCCGCGCTTTCAAGCGTTTTCGCCAAACCTATTGCCGGCTCATCGCCTAAAACAGACATTCAGTTCATTAGCAGTGTTTTTTACTGTAAGTGTTATCATACCTATCCTTCCGGCCGGATAGCACTCGAGACCGATGTTGATCTGTCCCCTCAGGAAAGTACCCGTCGCTAACACAACTGTCCGACTGCTAATACGCTGGCCATCGCCTCCATTCGTCAAATTGAATTCATTAATCATTTCGTAAATTAAACTAACTTTAAGTGATTACTTGTGATAATTCCCTGACACTCGAGTCTATCGCCACTCTTATTGATAATTAAGTCTTCAGCCGAACAGCACTTAACGGTGAGATTCGGTGTATTGTTTAATACTTTGTTTTGCATGTGTTTCTTGAATAATGATCTGTCAATCTGTGCTCTCCATCCCTTTTGGACACAAGTATCTCATCATTAGTTCTCATCATAATTACGGTGTGTTTATTGAATTCATACCCAAACAGCAGGTCCTCTACTTCTGTTCAATACTTTATACTGAAAATCTGTGCTCTCCATCCCTTTTGGACACAAGTATCTCATCATTAGTTCTCATCATAATTACGGTGTGTTTATTGAATTCATACCCAAACAGCAGGTCCTCTACTTCTGTTCAATACTTTATACTGAATGCCAGAGAGATCTGAAAAGTTATAAAAAAATATTATTTTCATACGAAACAATACCTTAGACTCAATTCAGTAAAAATTTAATGCTTTTTAAGAGCTTTTCCTTCTTATGTAAAAAAGTTTTATAACTATTTTTAGCGCTAATGTAGTCATTAGTCTAATTACCGCATATTTTGGGACAAATGCCGTCCATTGCGTCGATTTCTCTCAAGAGGTGTCCCTTTCCTATACCGCCGAAGGATGGGTTGCACGACATCTCTCCTACACATGAATCCAATGAATGGTTTATAAAAACAATTAGTTTTTTNACAAATGCCGTCCATTGCGTCGATTTCTCTCAAGAGGTGTCCCTTTCCTATACCGCCGAAGGATGGGTTGCACGACATCTCTCCTACACATGAATCCAATGAATGGTTTATAAAAACAATTAGTTTTTTGGTGGCAAACAAACCGATAGTTTGTGTTTTGTGTGTCACGAGTAGTGTCTTAGCGTTCATACGAGTGGCCGCACCCATGGCCTCAATGCCTGCAAACATACAATACATACGAGTCTTAACATAGCGATAGTGTGTCATAACTATGGTATCAATGGTGTACTGACCCGCGTGTCCACCGCCGATGACTATCACATCGAAATCGTGCGATGAATGACTTCGCGATTGTGTCCTCAAGGCATGGGATGGCCTTAAAAGACAACATCGACTCAAAGCACGCATTGTCTCGATAGAGTCGTATCGATGGGACGGATGTCTTATTAATTGATTGCCATCTGAAGACAATTAGAGATAATTATCGCAAACATTGCATGATTTAAAAGACTGTAAACATTGCATGCATTGCCTGTATCTTGAGATGAACGCATGTGACCACAGATGGCACTCAACACCCAATTGGACACCAAATTCAATGTCTTTGACTGCATAGACAGTTGGATGTAGTGTTAGATCTGGTCTATGAATACGAGCGCACAGTCACCACACAAAAAATGCCGTCCATTGCGTCGATTTCTCTCAAGAGGTGTCCCTTTCCTATACCGCCGAAGGATGGGTTGCACGACATCTCTCCTACACATGAATCCAATGAATGGTTTATAAAAACAATTAGTTTTTTTGGTGGCAAACAAACCGATAGTTTGTGTTTTGTGTGTCACGAGTAGTGTTTTAGTGTTCATACGAGTGGCCGCACCCATGGCCTCAATGCCTGCAAACATACAATACATACGAGTCTTAACATAGCCATAGTGTGTCATAACTATGGTATCAATGGTGTACTGACCCGCGTGTCCACCGCCGATGACTATCACATCGAAATCGTGCGACGAATGACTTCGCGATTGTGTCCTCAAGGCATGGGATGGCCTTAAAAGACAACATCGACTCAAAGCACGCATTGTCTTGAAGAGTGGTATCGATGGGACGGATGTCTTATTAATTGATTGCCATCTGAAGACAATTAGAGATAATTATCGCAAACATTGCATGATTTAAAAGACTGTAAACATTGCATGCATTGCCTGTATCTTGAGATCAACGCATGTGACCACAGATGGCACTCAACACCCAATTGGACACCAAATTCAATGTCTTTGACTGCATAGACAGTTGGATGTAGTGTTAGATCTGGTCTATGAATACGAGCGCACAGTCACCACACAAGTGGTAGTCTATCTCATCCATCACTTGTATATCCGCACCACGAGTTCAGACGAGTAGTCATACAGTTTGCGATCATTGGATCAGTTGATGAGAATTGAGGCGAAGAATCCACTCTTTGAGTGAATAGTTTTTGTGCAAAACTTATCGCTATATTCTGTTCACAAACTATTATTCTGTGTCTCATTTGTGTCAACGATTTGATCATTTGCTTCATATATACGTGTGTTTCGACTAAAAACTTTACTTTGAGTTCATTTAATAGTTTTAATTGCAATACATTTGTGCTATAAAACCATATTGTAATTATTTACGCTCATTAAATGGCTAATAATTAAACATTTTGTAACTTAATTTGTAGGTTAGAAATCCATGTAAGGACTGGACATATGTTTACGCCACTAAACCCTGTATTCAAGTGATTGTGTCTTAAATGTAAATTGTGGTCAAAAAGTCTGTGAGTGAATGTTGGATGTGATCAACAATTACGAGATAATGGGCGGAAGAACTCTTAAGAGATATATTCTGATGGGACTGTTATGTGTGGTCACAATAGCACTCATATATCAATTCAGTTCTCCTACTTGTTTCTCATCCCATTCCCCACAAAACCAATGGATATCACCCGAGGTTTGCATACATTTCCTATTGATTTGTATTTTATGTGTGGTCACAATAGCACTCATATATCAATTCAGTTCTCCTACTTGTTTCTCATCCCATTCCCCACAAAACCAATGGATATCACCTGAGGTTTGTATACATTTCCTATTGATTTGTATTTTAATTTTTATTCTTACAAAGTATAGTTTGTCTAATTTTTAAGTGAATACTATTATATCAGTCATTTAATGTCAAGAATTTTAATATATGTACATTTTTACATGAAATACAGTATGTGTTTGCTTTTTAATGCCTTAAAAGTTTTAATGCCATGACATTTATCACCGAAAATCTGTACTTAAATAATTAACACAACTATTGCTAAAAACATACATTTAGATAAAATGTTAGACTTTTTCGTCATACAATCGATTGAAACGGATTCCGCTTTTTCTTGATATATAATTCATTTATACGAAAATAGTTGCAAAATATATGCAAAAGGTATTCAAAAACGTAAGAGAAACTGCTGTAGTGTACTGTACATAGTTAATGATATTTTGAAATACATTTTGCAATCACTTTTATGGTTTCTATTTTTTTGCAGTGAATTTGCAAAAATCCTTTCATCTGATGATTATAATATAAATTTAATATATAAACCCATATCTCATACGTAAAATAAATACATTCCGTGAATTTCTAAAGTTTTTCATATATTATTCAAATGCTTTTGTGGAGTAATACCGCTTATAATGAACTCAATTGAATAATTAATTCTCGAAATACACTGAATATGTGGAGTAGAAGTGAACACATTTACGAAATAAAACTTTTATTTGATATCTGATACACTCGTCGAGGCATTTAGTCTAATATTTCGCGAATCGATTGCTTGAATGTTGAGTCGAAATGCATGTCTTATAAGTCTTATCTTTTGTCGATTGGAGATTTATTTTAATGAAAAACTCATTCAATGCACAAATCATGCAGTATATAGACTACTGAACAGGCAGTTTCTGCCAAATTCTGTCATTTCCTCTCAAATAGGACATCACTTTTGAATTCCTATACTTCTGTCTTATGTTATGGTATATCAGTTCAATTGAATCAACTCCACTGTCTATTCCGTGTAATCGATTGTTTGAGTTTCTAACAAATATTAATTGTTTTTAAAAAACATTTTGTTCATAATTTTTAGCGCACATGTTAGAAATTTATATTACATGACCCTATAGTACAGGAATATATACAACCAACTCCTCCATTAGGATAGCTATGAATAAGTTTAAGAATTTATGCGATAAACCATTAAATTCTTTAATAATGAGTATTATTTCTATTATAAGAATATAATTGAATTTTGTTTAAAATGATTATTTTGATGCATTTATCAATTTAATACTTTTCATTCACTAAAACATTTTCATACAGTACGGTATATCTCTTTAATGTGTCCGACTTTTTTGCTAATTCCCAAGCAATGACTATTATAAAAACAATTTGTTATAATTTATTTTCTTTTGAATTTATTGCTAGAATTTTATATATACCCTTACACTACATAACTCTGAAATTTAAACGACTGTTATCAGTGTCGTTTTAATTATCACGATTTAAAGTTTAAAGTAGTATCGTCGTATTTATCGTATTTATAAGATTTTTAATTATAAATTAATTATGTTTGTTGTCGTGTGTGAGTTAATCTTGATTTGAAAGCTTGCATCCGTTGTATACTTACGATAAGTTTAATGAATTGCTTATAATAAACAGTAATTATAGCTAATACTGTATTAAAGAATTGTATCCACAAATGTGTTCATCACTAATACATCTGAAAGAACTTAGAGTTACTGTTAATTGTCTAGTATTTACTGTAATGCTCGCTATTGTTATATCGATTAGTTACTAAAGTTAGACCAACTCCTCCATTAGGATAGCTATGAATAAGTTTAAGAATTTATGCGATAAACCATTAAATTCTTTAATAATGAGTATTATTTCTATTATAAGAATATAATTGAATTTTGTTTAAAATGATTATTTTGATGCATTTATCAATTTAATACTTTTCATTCACTAAAGCATTTTCATACAGTACGGTATATCTCTTTAATGTGTCCGACTTTTTGCTAATTCCCAAGCAATGACTATTATAAAAACAATTTGTTATAATTTATTTTCTTTTGAATTTATTGCTAGAATTGTATATATGAAAGGATTTACATAAGAAAGTGATTTGATTTTAATATAATACAAGTTGTTTTTATTTTTACTAAGTTTTAATTAATCTTATTAGTAAAGGTTATTTATAATTTAAACAAAATAAAATTAATTAAAAGCAACTTGTATTATATTAAAAATCAAATGGATTTTAGTGCCGGTATTTGCCTGTACGCTAGTCCTAACTATAGTTTACAGTTTCTGATCACAAAATCAAATCACTTTCTTATGTAAATCCTTTCATATACTCTTACACTACATAACTTTGAAATGTAAACGATTGTTATCAGTGTCGTTTTAATTATCGCGATTTAAAGTTTAAAGTAGTCTTATTTAAATTAATTTTATTTTGTTTAAATTATAAATAACCTTTACTAATAAGATTAATTAAAACTTAGTAAAAATAAAAACAACTTGTATTATATTAAAATCAAATCACTTTCTTATGTAAATCCTTTCATATACTCTTACACTACATAACTTTGAAATGTAAACGATTGTTATCAGTGTCGTTTTAATTATCGCGATTTAAAGTTTAAAGTAGTCTTATTTATAAGATTTTTAATTATAAATTAATTATGTTTGTTGTCGTGTGTGAGTTAATCTTGATTTGAAAGCTTGCATCCGTTGTATACTTACAATAAGTTTAATGAATTGCTTATAATAAACAGTAATAATAGCTTATATTAAAGAATTGTATCCACAAATGTGTTCATCACTAATACATCTGAAAGAACTTAGAGTTACTGTTAATTGTCTAGTATTTACTGTAATGCTCGCTATTGTTATATCGATTAGTTACTAAAGTTAGGTCTATACTTATTATACTTTATGATCAAATATTAAATAAACTCCAACTTTATTATATACTTCACTTATAACTTATATACCGTAACATAAGTGCAAATCAATGATTAATTATATATTTCGTAAATTACTTTCAGCCCATGTTTTTCGTATAACAAAAGATAAAAAAAACTATTTTTACCGTTTATTAATAGTATTTTAACTAAACTGTCAAAATACTGATGCTGTTTGTTATGAAATGTTTTATTATGTTTTTGTTTATGGAGAATATAATTGAAATTTATTTAAACATATTTTGCAATCATTTATAAAGCGATTTGTAATGAGTAAAGACGAACAAACCGGCGAAACACATAAGTTTGTATACAATCGATATATGCCTCTCATATTCATCGGAGGAATGCCTAGAAGTGGTACCACTTTATTGAGGGTTCTTCTCGACGCCCACCCGGACATCAGGTGCGGCGAAGAGACCCGAGTTATACCTCGACTCCTGGGGTTTCGTCAGTCTTGGCTCAAAGCGCCGTTTGAATCGCGCAGACTATCAGAGGCCGGCATTACCGCCGAAGTGCTCGACCAGGCCGTCGGCGCCTTCATACTAGAGATAATCGCAAAGCACGGAACGCCTGCCCCCAGGCTCTGCAATAAAGATCCGTTTACTCTGCGATCGGCCGTCTATTTGCGGTATTTGTTTCCGAACTCGAAGTTTATTTTTATGATAAGAGACGGCCGGGCGGTCGTCCACTCCATCATCAGTCGTAAAGTGCGTTCACAACTGTCCTTAACATTGATTTCTTTGATTGAGTCAAACAATGGTTTCATTGCATTTTTAGGTCACTATTTCTGGCTTTGATTTAAAAGATTTCCGGCAATGCCTTAAGAAGTGGAACGCAGCCATGTCTGCGATGGTATGTATTGTAATGTATGTTATCTCGTATCTGATCCATGGCTTAACTCTATGTATGTGTGAACAGCACTACCAATGCCAACAGTTGGGAACCGGTGTCTGTCTTCCCGTACATTACGAACAGTTAGTACTTCAGCCCAAAGTGTGGTTAGAGAAGATCCTAAGCTTTCTGTCGGTTCCCTGGAATGAGTCAGTCCTTAACTCCATCATCAGTCGTAAAGTGCGTTCATTACTGTCCTTAACATTGATTTCATCGATTGAGTCAAACAATAGCTTCATTACTTTTTTAGATCATTATTCCTGAGTATGATTTAAAAGATTTCCGGATGTGTGAACAGCACTCCCAATGCCAACAGTTGGGAACCGGTGTCTGTCTTCCCGTACATTACGAACAGTTAGTACTTCAGCCCAAAGTGTGGTTAGAGAAGATCCTAAGCTTTCTGTCGGTTCCCTGGAATGAGTCAGTCCTTCATCACGAAGAACTCGTCAACAAGAAGAACGGAATCTCTTTATCGAAGTATTTGTTTTTTGTTTTTATTTAAAGTCTTATTTTTTAAAACTTATTTTTGGTGTTAATTGTGACCCAAGACTGGAGCGATCGACCGATCAGGTGATAAAACCCATCAACATAGAGGCGCTGTCCAAATGGGTCATTTGTTTTTATTTAAAGTTTTATTTGTTTTAAAACTTATTTTTGATGTTAATTGTGACCCAAGACTGGAGCGATCGACCGATCAGGTGATAAAACCCATCAACATAGAGGCGCTGTCCAAATGGGTCGGACAGATGCCCGACGATGTGGTCAAAGACATGAGTGAAATCGCGCCGATGCTGGCGATGTTGGGCTACGACCCCAACGCCAACCCTCCCAACTATGGCACGGCTGACGCGTTAGTTCAGGAAAACATGAAACACTTGGAGAAGTATAAGGAGGACTGGTATGCAAAGCAAAAGGAAATGATGTCTATTAGGGAATCGATTCGGAGTTCTCTCGTTAAACAAAAAGCTAATAATAATAACATTGACAACAATGTTGTGGATGTCATCCATCAAAGTAATGATGATTTGGACAAAACGGTGGGTCCCCTCCAAAGTATTACATGATTTGGAGTCAACTATATTTGTGGAGAAATACTAATAAATTAAGTGAACACTAGAGTTGTGCACAAATTCAATGAAAAGCTATTTCTAAAACATTTCCAAAGCATTGGTTTTTCTGTGTGTGTGAATAGTTTATGTGATACCGATTTCAAGACTAATTTGTGATATAAACCAAATATAAACTGAAACTTTTTTAAAGCGAAAAACAGCTATTTTTTAACCACAATTCACGGAATGGACGGATAATAATAGGCTGAGAGCACAGCCTTTAGTGCAAACAGTTATCTCAAACTTGAAGGCATATCTTGAATGTGATTCATATGTTTTGTGCCATACTTTGTGCTCATTTTCTACTCATTTCATTATTCCTCAGTTTTTAATGTAATTTTAAGAATGATTTATAATTGATTTTTTATTAATATATTTGTAGTTATTTTAGTATTTATTAAGAGTTTGGGTTTTGTTTAACTGTATGTCTATAGTCTACGAAACATTAGAGTTGAAGTCAAATACATATAGGGATTACTATACAGTAAATGAGGAATGATTTTCCACCAGTGCTTGGATGTCTGTAAGGGTTTAACAAATTGTCTCATTATATGAACTAAATATTAATATTAATTTTTAAATATTTTATTTTTGATTCGTTCATTGAATATAAAACACATACAATTCCTATTGTTGTAGAAACACTCATCGAATATATTGTAATATCATTTTAATAGTTTATATAATAATAAATCATTAAATCGTTTGTAACTTTGTATTTGTCGCTCTCTCCGGTCCACTAGTTATTCAATTTTATCTTTGAGCCAATCCTTCAAGAAATTGATTTGTTGGGCAACACTCTGCCTACTCGTCCCGCCTTTCACTGTGTATTGATTGACGCTATTCTCGAAATTCCATAAAACTCTGATGTCTTCATCGAAATGGTCTCTAAAAAAGGCGACAAATCTCGTCTGATATTCAAACATTCATATTATGATTATTATTATGCGTTTCACTCACGATATCTCTTTGAACGCATTGAGCGGTAAGTTATGTATTTCGACGCCAAGCCGTTCAGCGGTCGCCACAACACTTCCGGCCAATTCGTGTGATTTGCGAAACGACACCTTAAATAGCATTTCAATTGCTTTTGTGTATCAAATGTCTTGGAAAAGCCCATTTGAATGAATGGGTCGTAAATGAGAGCACTTACGCCTTTCCGGACCAAATAGTAGGCGATATCTGTGGCCAACATATCGCTACTCAATGCCTCAATACATTTGCTGCGATTCAACTGAATTTAAAGCACATATTTATATAGAAATCACAAATTTATATATTATATACACTATTCAGTTGCAATATAGTGGCAGATTTTTTTATAACCTAATCTCCAATATTAAAAAACCTAATCTTCTTAACATTAATTCTACTGAAAATGATATTCTTTAATATTCTTTGACCTCAAAATAATTTCTTAGAAAATTTATTAGACATTAAATAATAACACACAGTACTGTACTACTGTATAACAGTAATATGTTTTTAAATAAACTTATTTATAGGTTTCTAAAGAATAATGAAATTCAAAATAAAATTCTATTATATACTGTGCTTTACTACTGTCTACGGTATATATCAGTTGAGTTTTAGATTTAATTTTAAATTAAACTACTTTACGGTATATATTTTGATAGAGGCTATACGGTAATACTTGTTACAGCATATTATAGTGAATTGGATGAGAAATTCTGTATAAATTAGTTACGAAAAGACTTCTAAAGAAATATCTTTTTTTATACTGAAGAATTGAATAAAATAATAATAAAAATAAAAATAATACTTAAACATTTCACTTGAAAAGTAAATCTAATTAAATGGTTATGAAAATACTGCCACTAATACCGTTAGCGTATCAATAGCTCCGGTCATCACTTGAATAACGCTCTTCATTGTGTCCATTGAGTCAAACATTCCCTCCTTATCTTCCTATTAATTATTTGCATAAGTTTTAGACAATTATTTTAAGCAATATTTATTGACTTAGATATCATTTAAAGACACTATTGTTAATATTCTTATGAAATCGACTGAATATTTCAGACATAACTTAATTGTTTATACAACTGATTACACTATACCTGAAGATCTTTATTGAAAGTACTGGGAATGCCTTTCAGTATAACAAGAAGTGCTGTCAACTAAAGCATATAACAAATAAGTTTTAAGATATATTGCAAATAATGTTTGAATAGAGTTAACAATACATTGCCGATAATTCTTCCGGACTTCCCTCTAATGAGCTCAAGACTGTCGGCATTCTTCTTCTGCGGCATCAGCGAAGATCCCGTACTAAAAGAGTCGGAGATCTCAATGAAATCAAACTCTTTGGAACTGAATATAAGCATGTCTTCAGCCATTTTGCTGAAGTGGATGACTGTCAGCGACGACCAGAAGTGGAACTCCGCGATGAAGTCTCGGTCGCCGACCGCATGCATGCTATTCATTGAACACGAATTAAATCCCAATTCTTTAGCCAAGAAATCTCTGTCGATGTTAAACGGATTTCCACTGATGGCACCGCTTCCCAGTGGACACACATTCATCCGATCCAATGACGACAAGAGTCGCTCGCAGTCCTGTTGATACATAAATGCAAACGACAGCAACCAATGGCTGAAGTATACGGGTTGTGCCCGTTGTAGGTGTGTATAGCCCGGCATTATTGCCTCCGTATACCTGTTTGTGATTTGAAGTTTGGTTTAAATTTATTTCACTAAAAATGTTCAGTAATCGTAAGACTCACTGCAAACTCCTTTTGATGATCACTTCAATGAGTTTATACATACACTTCAGTAATTCCCTGATTGAATCCCTTAACCATAATCTCATATCAGTGGACACCTGATCGTTACGACTGCGACCCGTATGCAGTTTGCCGCCGATCTCAGCGCCAATCAGTTCCTATCAAACAGTTATTAATATAAACTTTAATAACATTTACTTAATATTTTTTCTAAACCTTAAGCCGTCTCTCATTAGCCGTATGTATGTCCTCATCGCCCCATTTGATGGCAAACATTCCCGACAGCCATTCGCTTCGGATATTCTCGAGTCCTTCTTCTATTAAATTCACTTCACTTTCTGAGAAAATATTTTTTTTATATTATATTTGGACGAAAATATATATTTATTATAGTTATCACAGAAGTTATACAACAAAAAATGTGTCAATTCATGGCAAATATACCTTTCAAAAGATCACATTTCCTGAGAGCCTTGGCGTAGGCGATACTTCCGGTGATATCGGCTGAATATAATCTTTTGTCGAATTTGAGGGATGAGTTAAATTCCTCCATCAGAGGGTCCAACCCTTTCTCAAATCTTCCGCCCCATAGCTTATTGTCCTTATTGTCCTCTATCTATAATATCACACAAAAAACACATATATTTCGTTACATTAATCATAAGTTGTTATAAAACATGATCTTTCCATTGAATTGAGGTTTGAAATAAAATTTTTTGTTGACAAACATATCCATCAAATTGAATGATTCTCAACAAAAATCTATCAATGGATCAATAGTTTAATTTAGCGAAAAATTAAATTTTTGAGAATTAGACATTAATTCAACCCACACTCTTGAGGACTAATTTTAATTAAATATTTGATATAAGAATCACTATATTTCTAAACATAACTATATCTATTTTATTTATTAAATTCTATAATAAATATCAGCCCATTCAAAATGACATCAGCTATGAAGTTAATATTAGATTTAAACCTTAGGGTGATTTTAGGATTGTTAAACAATATCACAACTAATTTATGATTTTGTAAAACTATAAAGATAACACAATTCAATAGAATATTAATTTAATAAATGAAATGAAAATGAAATACTTTAATTGATTTCTCAAGACTCGAATACTTAATACTCGTTTCCATTGTATTTACAATAAACTAGTAAATTTAAAATTGTGGAAAATTTTAAAGAAAACTGAATATGAAAGTCAAATGTTTGTCAATTATTGCTCACATTTATCGCCAAACCTTGAAATGTGTGGGTATATGCGTAAATATTTATTAATTTATTAATTTATCAATCTATTAAAGATTTGATTTTAAGATTTGAATATTCCCTAAAGCATACATTTGCAACGTCTTGAAAATTAACTTATTAATTACAGTACTGTATGAATTGTAAGTCTAAAGATTAAATAACAAAAAAATTACAAGTAATTTAAATAAAAAAAATAATTAAAACAGATTAGATTTTGCGAAATATTAAAATTTATTTTGTAATATACAGTAAATATTTATGTTTGCTTTAATTACTTATACATATTTAAAATCTACATAAATAAATTATATTACAATTCATAGTTTTGATTCTGAATCATATTAAACCAATTTTATTAGCAATTTTATATTTATTTTAATATCTTACAAAATATACTGAAAATTAATTTTCGTAGCCAGTTCCACGTTCCCACCTAGTCTAATCAATTAATATATAAAATAATAATGGTTAATACTATAATATACTGTATAATGGTTAACATAAGATAATTAGAAAAATTCTTATGAATTCTGTGCTCTTTTACATAACAATTCTTAACCACTCAATGAACATACAGTAGATTCTGCCACACATTGAACACAATGGAAA